ACTGAACATGTGGGACTGAAAAGATAGTGCAGGGGGTAGGCTAGCCTCGTGCTCAGCCGCCCAGGTTCTATTCCCAGCATCCTATATGGTCCCTTTAGTAATTCCTGAGAGCAGAGCCAGGGGTAATGTCCCTGACCACTGCTGGGTGTAGCCCCCAAACCAAAATAAATAATAGACTAAAATAAAATTTGACCATGTGACAGTAGGGACTGGGATATGATAGAGCACTTGACTTGAGTGTGTAAGGCCCAGCGGGGTTGACCTCTAGTGCGATACAAAAAAAAAAAAAAAAGCCAAGAAAACCAAAGGGCCAGAGAAAGTACAGTGAGAGGGTACTTAATTTTGCACATACCTGACCCAGATTTGATCTCTTGATCACATAGGGTCCCCCCAGCCCCGCCAGCTGATCCCTGAGCACAGAGTCAGGAGTAAGCCCTGAGTACTGCCGGGTGTGACCCTCAAAAGACAAAGCAAAAAGTAGAAACACTGAAACAGCAAAAGTTCAGTGTGGATTATAAACCTTAACTCTTTGACCTAAGAATCACTCATGTAAAAGTGGGTCTCAGATTTTGGAGAAGGAAGGATTCTGACCTCTCGGGCCTTGGTTTGGTTATAAAATGATACTCATGGAGCAGTGTTATTAATAGTAGCCTTTTTTTAGGGTCAGTCTCCCAGTGATAGTGTTGAATGGCGTAAACTTTCAGGAGTGCCGTTTCTGGGAAAGCACTTGTGTGGGGCGGTGGGCTGACTTGACGTGTGTCAGAGGCACACCTTTCAGTTCTGCGTCATTCGTATTACCTGGTGGTCATTGTGGCATTTGACACAACCGCTGCATCTAAGCATATTAAATATTTGTAAAGCACTTGATCATGACATGCACCATTTGGAACTTTCACAGGGAAGTTTTTGGCAGACAACATCGTGGGTTCTGTGTTGGTTTTCTCCTTGATATTTTGGATCCCTTTCAGCATTCTTGTCCACTGTGTGGTAAGTCACCAGTTTTTAAGTAATGAAACATTCTTTTGCTATTTTTAAGCCTAGGACATGGTGCAGTGGTAGAGTACAGACCTTTAATATGCATGCACCAGTATGATCTTTGGCACCACAAACAGATTTTTAAAAAAGTAGTTGCCGCCATTTACACAACAGTTGGAAAAGATACATTTGTAGCAAAGTCTACCTCTTATTTTTCAGTAAAATACCTTTCTCTGTGAATAAATATAGTGTATAAGAGCTTAATAGTCTGAAAAGAATTGCATATTTTGTCTATGTTTTATGCTTAGGTATAATTTTTGAGAAATTTTGTACTTCTGAGCATAAACAGGGGCAGGAGATAATACAAAGGCTTGGAACACATACGTGGCATACCTGGCGTAGGGTCCTAGTTTAATTCATGGTACTGTATTACCTTTGGTGCCCCATTGGTGGGGAAGCCAGCCCCCTCACCCTAGTCCCTAGGCACAGCAAACATTTTCACTAGATTTGTGCAGTATCTCTGATGCATGAAGCTTCTGAAGAACAGACATTTTAGGGCTTGAGCTCTGAAGGTTGGTGTGTAAGATTTACATATAGAACACTTGGGTTTGATCCTTGGCACCAGGTGCTACCAGCGCACTGCTGGGAGTAGTCCCTGAAGATGTGTTTCCTGCACTGTATAGATTCGTACACCATATAGATTAACATTTTATAAGGGGCTTTTCCAGCCATAATGTCTTTCCAAGCAGAGTGATTTTCATTGATAATGAGGAACAGCTTACAGTTGAGCTTTGTCTGAGAAACACAGATAATTAGAATCCTGGCACTCTTAAGAAGCGTTTTCATTGACTTGCTGGCGACCATCCCTCAGAGCACTCCTCCTCTTCCTGGTGAACAAATGGAGGTGGAGGGAGCTCTGGGCAGCAGCTCTGTTACAACAAAACTGTTTTACTGGTGTGTGTGTGTGGGGGGGGGGGGGGGCAGCACTGACTGAAGGGCAGCAGGGACCACCCGCCTGCGTGCTTTTCCTTGAGAGTTGCAATGACTGCTTCTAGCGGAAGTTACCCTCATGGAGGGAGGGGCCTGGGCTTTGATTTCTGACTAAAGTCCCTGATAGGGGAGGGCAGTGGATTGCTTTTGACCATAGAAATACTGTCAGGGAAACGAACAGAAATCAGACGAGTGGGTTTGGCCTCCTGTCTTGCACATTGTCATCTGCATGTTACATGTTGGCTATAGGGGATTGCGGACATCGGGCGCAACTTTGAATTCATCCTTCTTTAGAAATATGGCTTAAGGACTTGTGACCTAGTTCCCAAGAGTTTGGGCTGCATAAACCCTGGAAATAGTTGACAAGAGTTGTAGGGTTGTGGTGGGTGGGCAGTGTGAGACAAGTGCCAAATGAGATGCGAACACAGCCCGTACTGCTCAGTGATGCCCTGTGTGCCCGGGGTCGGGCCTGGTTCTGACCACAGTGGACACACAGGGCCTTTGTTCTACTGCCCACAGGGGAGATATCACTCAAAAAAAAAAATGCCTATTTCTGAACTTAAGACCACGGAAACACTTGTAGGCTGATGACTGAATTGTTAGCAGCTTATGTAAGAAACTCATTTTCTATTGAGCATGCTGCACATTCTACAACTCTAGTTCTAAATGTATTCTCCACGTGATATTCCAAATAGTTTAGAAGAACTGACTGTGATTTTGTTTGTGGGAGTAACGCCTCTTTTTTTGGCTTCTTTCTTTTCTAGGATAAGAAACTAGACAAGCAGTATGAATCCCTCTCTCTCTTTCACCCCAGTGTAAGTACCCCAAATGAAAGAAGTCATTTTTCTGTGGTTACTCTGGGGCCTTGTGAAGCAGATCTTAAGTTGGCCACCTTGAACCCTTAGTTTTTCCAGCCATGCTTTCTTTGTCTTGCTGGCAACAGTCCCGAAGGGGCTGGAGGGTGAACCCCTGACCGTGGCAGATAGGTAACAGGCGCTGTGTGGAGGGCAGAGGGGGTTCTGTGGCCCCTGCCTTCCCTCCAGTCAGAGATGATGAGCTGCTCAGCAGTGGCGTCCTTTGTATAGTGAGATCTTTTCCTGATTCGGTTTTTGGTTCTTGGGAGTTCTCTTTTGGGTCCTTAAGCAGAAAAGTGTTGGGAGCCTTAGAGGGAAAGGTCGCCGTGCCCTTTGGTGAATAAGGTTGGACCTATTTCATTGTCTTCTGTCTTTCCAGAATGTGGAAATGCTAAGCAGCATGGACTCTGCTTCGGTTCGCATCATCAAGCCCTTTCCTGCTCCCCAGACTCCAGGCCGGCTACAGTCCACCCCTGTGATGCCTCCAGTGCCTGCGGCTCCAAAACTGGACCACCAGCGAATGGACACCATCCAGGAAGACCCCAGCACAGACTCGCATGTGGATGAGGACGGCTTTGAGAAGGACCCCTTCCCCAGTAGCAGCGCAGCTGCCAAGTCCTTCGAGGATCTCACAGAACGGCCAGTCACCCGGAGCGACAAGGCCTCATCCTTTAAGTTACAGCGTCAGAATCGTGTTGACAGCAAAGAGACAGAGTGCTAGCTTAGGGGCTGACGCGTAGAGTGCCTGTACGAGTGTGCAAACTATTTTTATAGCTTTGGCCTAAAATCACTGCATATATTTTGTGAAGACTTGGCAGAAGAAAGGAAATAACTCCCCAGCAGATGCTGGTCATGTGTTTGGACTTCTTTCCTTCATGTACAAAAGTACCACGTGGTTAGTCCCTCTCCTTTTGATGGAAGGGGAATCTAGCTTATTTTGAAGCTTTCAGGTTTTAGTTTTTCTTTTTGGTTTGATCTTTAAAATATCCTTCAACCTGTGGTGCAAAAGCAAAATATAGCTGGATTAGGTAATGAATATTTACATTTTTGTAAATCAGCTTTTATATTGGTTACAGCACTGATTAGGGAGATAATCAATTTTTTTTATACACTGTAATGATCATTGAATATAATGAGGCATTTAGCAGCTACTTGGTGAGGGCAACTGGAACACAGGATTTTTTTTTTTTCTTTTTGCCTTCAAGCAAAAGACAAAGGAGATAAAATCAAGTTATTATCTCCAAAATTTCTTGGTATTACGTAGAGCTCTTAGCAGGGAGTATTACACATCTAAACTTAAAAATAACTTGGGTTATGATGTCCTCCTAATTCTAAAACAGTGTAGCTTATCATGAAGGTCAAATAGTGCGATTGTGTTTACGGAATCGTACGAAGTGTTCAAGGCTCCTTAACTTGCAGAGCCGTTTGTGTATGTTTTTTCAGTCTTTTCATGCGTCTTACACTGTTTCCATGCTCTTTTTAAGAGTGTGGCTGCATCATTTTAAGCAGTGGACAGAAAGGGAGCATGGCCTCCCTTGGGCCCGAGTGTCTGTGCCTTATTGAACCGGTACTTTAATCCTTTGTCTGGACCTACAACAGGACTCATGCATTACTTCTTGCTTTAGTGCTTCAAGATTTTGGACATTATATTTACTGTGTGAAGGATAAGAATCATCAGATTGAATTCTTGTTTCCTTAAAGTCACAGTTAAAACTCTCTCCCCGCCCCACGCCTGCTCCCCCCCTCGACTAAAATGTGCTCATCAGCCAACATTTTAACAGACAACTTGTAAACTCTGAGGGCAAATAACTGAACCTGTGACGAATTGTATTTTTTCCAAGGACGTTTGTTACGCAGATACCTGTTACACTAATACTTGAACCTGCACCTTGTGGTATTTGCTACTTTTAACTAGCCATGATAGTCTTATATTTTAGTTACACTTTTGGAATCTGATAGAGGTGAATGGGTGTGTGGGTGTATGTATGAGAGTGAAGCAATTCCCTTCTGAATGTAAGAAAACCTTTTTTTTTTTTTTATAAAATTGTGACTTTTTAAAAAACAAAACACTTCTTTACTTTTTTTTTTCCACTTAGAGGATTGGCAGGCTGCTCAGGGTATATTTTGTAGCTGTGGCACTGATGACACCTGCATCCATCAATAAATGTTTAATATCAAAACTTTGCTGAAAAACACTAATGATTTTATTAGTCTTGGTGACAGATGCCAGTGTTTTTGATCCAGGGTAAGAAGATTTTCTTGATCTCTTAGTCAAGATCTTTGTGCATCGAAGGTTAAGCCTGCCAACAAGGAGAATCAGAACCAGACATGGCTTGCTTCGACTAATGGTCCCCATCTCCCAGGAGACTGAGTTCCGGTTTAGCTTCTGCTACATCCCGCCAGTAAGGGAGCAGCAATGGCAGGGAAGAGACTTTCTTCTCTATCAAAGGCCAAAGATGGGAGAACAAAAACTCATTTCCCTTTGGTGACAAATGTAGTCCATCTGACAAGTAGGATGAAAAGTCCTGCAAGGAGAGAGAACACAGAGGCAGCAAGAGTCAGCGCTCACCATGGCTGCAGACACAGCACGTCCTGATGCTCAGACATAGTCGAGCATGCAGCCTCCCCGTGGAGAGCTGTGGACTGTCTGAATGTTACACACTAAAACCTCACATCACTCAAGTGCCTTTAGGTCATTAGTAGAAAAAAAAAAGGCTGAGTGATTCTGATGTATTAATGTCAACAAAATGGTGGAAAAAGGCTCAGTACCTAGAGCATTAACAGGGTTCCCCCCTTCCTTTTTTGGGGGGTGGGGGAGGGAAGAAGGGGACTTGAGTTACACTTCATAGCATGTGGGGGAACAAACGAGTTGGCTCCATGCAAGGCAAGTGCCTTAACCATCTCTCCAGAAGCCCCTCAATAGTAGTTTTAACTTAGACTGTTAGGTGGGAAGTTTCAGCCACCCTGCCTAGAGAAACAACAGCGGCAATACCAGTCCATGTCCTGACTAGTGACATTTTCCATCAGAGCCATTTTTCCTGTGGGGAATGATCTACAGTGCCTCTACATCCTTATCAGAACCTACAGTGGCTGGGGCCACAGCAGTAGTACAGCAGGGTAGGGCGTTTGCTGGCATTGCAAACATGGTCATATGTGGCTGACCCGGGTTCGATGATCTGTATCCCATATGGCCCAGTGCCCCTGCAAAAGCCAGGTAGTTATTGGTTTTATACAAGGGATCCAAAACTCCAATGGGACTTCTTATTTTCTTTATCAGTGATCTCTAAGGAAGACCCTCCCAGTTCTAGAGTATTCCTGTTAAATCTACAGGACTATGTAAGAGCACTCGCCCAGTGGCTTGCAATTTCTTTTCTAGCAGCATCACTCTCTAAAGTCATCTCAGGTGGAAGCTGAACTCAAGTGAGCACACTCTCTGCATGTCCCCTTCAGCATTCCTGCTGCCAGGCCCCCACCACAGGGTCTAGTGGGTTCAAAGGGGAACAAAACATCCATTTCTCTGCTGAGATAGTGGGGCCTGTGTCAGTATGAGGAAGTAGGAGGACGCCCTGGGTTTGAGCTCCAGCAAAATAAAACACCTGCTAAGCTCAGTGGCTGACGCATTCAGTGTGGGATCAGCTTTTTACCTGTTAAATCTAAGGGGACTATCTATGTAAGAGCAGCTCTTCTGAAGGGGCTTTCTGGCTATAAAACAGTTTATCTCAATATAAATCTTGGTTCCGAGACATAGCTCAAAGGGCTGAGTGTATGCAGGAAGCCCAAATTCAATCCCTGCCATCAGTGGGTCATTTGTGTACTTGTCATGTGCCCCTAGAATCTTAAGTTAAATTGTTTTTGTCTGTTTTTGGGGTGACACTTAACGGTCTTTAGGGCTTTCTCCTGGCGGGGCTTGGGAAACCATAACTGTGCTCATGCCTTATTATAAAAGAATCTGCCCTCCACGGGTGTTTTTTGGTTACACTAAGCAGGGCTCAAGGGGGACACTATGGGGTGCCAGGAACTGAACCTGGGTGGGTCTGCTGCATGCAAGGCAAATGCCCTACCTGCTGTAATATCGTTCTGGCCCCCATCAATAATTTTTAAAATAGAGGCCATTTATTTCACGGTATATGTTTAAGGGGGTTCCCAGAGGATGTCACACAGGAATTTAGGAACCAAGCCCACGGCACTGAGCCATTTCTGAGTAACCCTCACCTCCTAGAAGAACTAAGCCTGCCACCCTACTGTACCTGACTCTCCTTCTGCATCAGTGTCCACAAGTCAACTGCATCAGTACCATAGTCTTGGGCTACTTGTAAACAGGCACTAGCATATTCTCCAACTACGGAGTTTAGGCGATTCAATTTGCAACCTGTTGGGGAAAAAAAAATTCACGTGTCAACTGACAGAAGGAAGTGCTGGTTCTTGAGAAATTATCCTAGCAGAGAGGTTTCCTGCTCTGGTGAACAGACATATCTTCAGGGACCTCACCTGGCTCAGCAATGGAGAACATGGGGTCCTATATGTTACTTGCAATGGCATCAAACCAAGGGAGCCATCAGTGGTACTCATGGGCCCCTGAGGGGCCAAGCAGGATACTCAACAGCCATACAGAAAGGCCCAGGGGAGCCAGTCTACTTGGCCAAAGTGCATGCCAGAAGTGAATGGAGCCAGGTGGGTGACCTCTAAGGGACATGCTAGTGGTCCAATTTCGGAGCCGTGGGCACAGAAGGCATTGCAGGAGGCTGGTCCTGGGGTCTCAGGCATGACACAAAGGAGGCTGATAATCTTTCTCACACAATTTCTACTCACTGACTGATGCGGGCTCGGGCAGCTTGGTGCAAGTGTGAGGCTGAGAGTTTGATCCCCCACCCTGCCCCACACACCTGGTGCAGGTGTGGCAGTACTCCTGTTAAGGACGCCAGCACCCCCACAAAAGTGTGCACTCCCAGGCAAGCATGGAGGTAAGCACCATAATCAATCAGCACACCGAAAAGAAAAGGGCAATTAGAAAATCAAATGGAAGAAAAGGGCAATTAGAAAATTTAAAACACTGACCGCTAAGGGGCCCCAGACCCGAGGCTGTGTACCTTGCATGCGACACTCCTTTTCCCATGCGGTCTCACAGAGTGGGGGTGGCGTAATGAGAATGATCCTGCTCTTGGGAATATCCATGGACTTCAGGTACTGCACTATGCTCTTTAGATTCTCAGTGTACTCATCCAGGGGGATGTGCTGCTTGGGGTTCTCCTCTGTTCAGAAAGAAATTGACAGTTGAGCCCAACTGCTGATTTACTGTTAAGTGGTAAGAATTAGGGTCAGTCAACGCTCACAGATGTTTAGGACTCATAGTATTCCTAGAAACTGTTCAGCACTGAGGACAGAAAAAGGTGAACTGATTTAAGTCATCTTTAGAGGCTCCTGTACATGCTCTTACCCTGTTCCTTCAGGGGGCCATCCAACTGGGTGGAATTTGGGGGAAGAGTGAGCCCAGTTCTATCCTGACTCAGCGGCTGATCATCCACGTGGTCTGGATAAATACCCCTCTTTTCTGTACTCATTTCCACATTGATGAAATGATGACATGGGATCTAGCTCACACAATTGTTGAGTGTGTAAAGCTCAGGGCAAGGTGCCTGCCACAGATGGGCCACTCAACAGGTAGGTACCTCTGCCACTGCTAAGACCTGACTGTTGTTTTTTTTGCTTTTTGGGTCACACCTCGCGACGCTCAGGAGTATTACTCATGGCGGTGCTCGGGAGACCATATGGAATGCTAGGAATCGAATCCGGGTCGGCGCGTGCATGGCAAATGCCCTACCCGCTGTATCATCACTCCAGCCCCCAAGACTGAATGTTGTTGGGGATCACACATGTACCAAGGCTCACTGCAGGCCTTCTACAAACAACAGTACTTAGAGGGGAAAATAACTCCTGATACTGCTGCCAGAGCTAAGCACTGCTGGCACTTGGATACATTTTCTAGTCTTCTATCTAGATATGTACACCTAGAATTTTATCCCACAGAGGAGCATTTGAGTCCATAAGTAATCTTCAAAAAATTCTTACAGGGCCAGACATAGTACAGGAGGTTAGGCATTTGCCTTGCATGCAGCTGAGCCAAGCCGCAACTCTGATTCAAATCACCAGCATTATATATTTGCTTTATGCAATTATAAGAAATAATGCAGAGATCTGTACATATATCCCTGCCTGCACTGCTGAGGATTTCTGATGGCTGGAATGCTAGGGGAGGGCTAATTGCTTTCCAGAAAGATTACGGCATGTCTTCCTCACTGTGTCAGAGTGCATCTATCACATTTTATGTTTGCCAGCTTTTACTACTTGTGTTACTGCTTCAAGCTGCTGCTGTCTTTGAGAACCGTACAACCACATTCTTGGGGCGCTGCATATGCCTCAGTGACCAGCTCTGTATGCATGAGGGTTGCTTCTCGGCTGCCCAGAGGCACTGCCACTGCGACCACAGCACTAAAATGCGCAAGCACCACAAACAAATGTGTCACAGGAACCAAACAGGGCAAGAGGAGGAAAAGCCAAACAATTCCTTGTTCTACTTGGCAATTTTGGCTGTTTCCACGTATCTTTCAACACTTCTGTGAACTACCTGTTGCTACCTTGCCTACTTTTCTATTGGATTCAGTGTTATTATCCTCCCTTAATTCTGTGCACCTGATGTGGTTACACACACACTTGGTACTCCATGGGTCACACTTCCTTAGCTTCAGGACTGCTATGCTCGCTGAGGTCACAACACTTTAGTGCCGCTGCTCACAGACCTGGCTCTACTGGAACCAGAACTAACCTTTGGCACCTGGGGTTTCAGACTGCCGGGCTCCCAGGACTGTATTTCACACACAGGCCATACCAGGGATTCAATTCACGGCTTCAGGCTTGCAAGGCTTTAAGTGCTGAACCACGTTCCAGTGCCCGTGCTGCTAAAGGGAAGGGGTCAGGCCACTCTTGATGGTGCTTAGGAGTCACTTGTAGCACTGAAGTGTCAGTGGGTGGCTGCATGCAAGGCAAGTGTTGGTAACCCAACTTTCCAAATGAAAGATTGACTTCCCCTCCTTGATTCTGTGCCGGGCTCTCAGCGCTGAAAGGGAAGAGTAGCCTGCACATGGCCTGTGGCCTCAAGTCACAGTCCTACTCCTTCCTCAAGTCACAATCCCACTTCCAGAAGCACAGGACCTAACCCCAGCTTCTATGGCCCAAGGTCAGGCAGTGCTGCTGACAACTAAAGACAAGCATCAGAAACTCAGCACTCATGGACTCTCAGATAGACAAATGTCAGCTCTGCCAACAACCTCCCCACCGCCAACCCCCAAATAGGTCAGTCAGGAATAAAACTAATACAAAGCAAGAAACAGTACAGTGGGAACGCAGGACAGAACTCAGAAATTTGGTAAAACTTGACTAAGAGGTAAACAGTTGAAAAAAGTCTTGTAACATATAATGATGAAAAGTGATCTGAAAAACCACGAAAGAGTTTTTACCTTTTAGTGCGCTGTCATTGGCACCAAAGAAAACCGTTACTGCTACTGGGTTGTCCAAACTGTTCCCCTTCCTGATTAGTCTTGGAAGGATAATTTTGGCCCATCTGGTATTGTAACCTGAAAATCCACGATTCAGAACATCACATTTTCTGAAATGAAAAGTTATTGAAAAGGAAAAAATGAATTCTGGGCCAAGAGCTGTTTGGCCCCTGCAGTTTTCTGCAACTGTAGGACCCCTTTGGCGACTGCTCTCCAGGCTGGCCATGCACAGGGTTCTAGTCCTATCCAGCTTCCCCTGCAGGAGCGGAGATGCGGAAGCCGGGCCCCTTCTGGCTCCCAGACTCAGGTGACCCACTCCTACTTGGGGTCTGCACTCCCCAGTTTCATGCACGGTCAGATGCAGTTGACCATAGAATCGTACCACTAAAAGACTGGAATTTAAAAGGTAACTGGTTTAATCTGGGGTAAGGATATTTATGTACATCTTAAAACATTTCTACGTATTTATGCAGAAGTAAACTTTCTCATGGATAATTTTATCAGTTTAAAACAAAACTTTCTCATGGACAATTTTATCAGTTTTTGGTACAGAGCACATAGCTCTTGCCCTCCGAGCCTCATGTTAACTTATGTGTAAGTTTGGCAAACAAGTCACCCAATTTTTTTTTGTCTTGTTACTTTATTATTCTTGTGTGTGTGTGTGGTGTTGGGAACTGAACCCAAGGCCTCATATATGCGAGGGGTTTGCTTTACCACTGAACTGTGTCAGTGCTGATACGTCAGCACCCAGAGCTTCAATCCAGTTACTTGAGTGAATGTCTTGGTTGTTTCAGTTCATTAATGCCAGTCCTTACTTTTTACTTACAAATATATGATTTGAACTGAGAAGCAGCTCAAACTGCTATAGCATTTTACCTGTGGGAGATGTGGATATGATCCCCAGCACTCAAGGCTGCTGGTTCCTGAGCACTGACCCAGGATAACCCTCCTCCCCCCCGCCCCCCCCCCCCCAAGCACTGCAGGTCTGGTCCAAAAAGAACAAAATAATTCACAACATCATGTCATCATCTGATATGAAAAATTATGGATTTTGAAGCTTTGGATTGGGCTGGAGCGATAGCACAGCAGGTAGGGCGTTTGCCTTGCATGCAGCCAACATGGCCGACCCGAGTTTGATTCCTCTGCCCCTCTTGGAGAGCCGGGCAAGCTACCGAGAGTATCTTGCCCGCACGGCAGAGCCTGGCAAGCTCCCCGTGATGTATTTGATATGCCAAACACAGTAACAACAAAGTCTCTAATGGAGACGTTACTGGGCCCACTCGAGCAAATCGATGAATAATGGGAGGACAGTGACAGTGAAGCTCTGGATTAAACTGGACAACATGATTAAACTGCTGGACACATCATATACAAGACAGTCCTATCTTCTACTTTTACTTTGATCACATTTGGTGATGTTCAGGGGTAGCTCCGAGAGCTTCTTGGGGGACAATGTTGAGCTGGGTATCAAATCCAACAAGTCTCCAGCAAGCACAGCACGTGCTCTAGCCTCCTTAATTTCCTCTCCAGTCCCATATTTTAAATAAGATGGTAAAATTTTATGACCTGAGGTTAGCTTTTGAAAAAACCATTAGTGTAGGGCAGCATATGACTAAGGCTGTATGGTCCCAAAGATATTCCAAGGGGGCCAGAGGTGAAAATCACATAAACGAAAGACCACGGTGTTTGTTACTTATAAAATACTTGTCATTTTCTTTTCAAGTCTTTCTTTTGGTTTTTGGGCCACAGCCGGCGATGCTCAGTGGTTATTCCTGGTGGTGCTTGGGGAATCACATGGGATGCTGGTGATCAAACCCAGGCTGGCTACATGCAACGTAAACACAGTACAATCACTGTCTGACCCTACTTTTCAACTTGGATTTGGGAGCTTCCCCTCTAAATGACTTCCTTAGCTTATATGTAAGTTTGACAAATAAGTCACCAAAATCCTATTTTGTCTTGTTATTTTATTTATTTTTGGTGGTGTTGGGAACTGGACCAAGGCCTCATATGCAAGGCTTTTGCTCTACCACTGAGCTGCGTCTTCAGCCCATCTGTCATATTTTTAGAACATTTAAAAAAAAAAATCAAAAACAGAATGCAAGTTTGGATTATTTTGCTTGAATTCCAGTGAATTCTTTGCTCATCTAAAATCATATCTATGCACAACTGATAAAGCATTTGCCTTTAGAGCCATAGCTGTATTTGGGGGGAATCTAAAATCCATATATAGTTTTCACAACTATTAGGATTCAATTTCACATGGTGGCGAAGTTGTATTTATTGGAACTTGAGTGCCAGATCACTCTCCTTTCTCCCCAAAATGACTAGGAAAGGCCAGCAAAGGTGAACCAGGGAAGAAGTTACTGTTTGAAACTGTATTATTCACTATCTTCTGAGGTGCAACTATATTTTCCATCAATAAATACATATCAATCTAGAAACTATTCTCACCTGGCCAGCTTGTCAGCCAGTGATGCTCCCCATCCACCCTGCTGGAAAGAAAACTGGAGAAAGAAAAGCCCATTACTACTTGTCTTGGGATTGGGGCAACTCCCAAACGTTTTTCTTTGCCTCCCCCCAGTTGGTTATCTTCTGGCTTTAGCCCCGTTTGATGACTGTAGCCCCGTTTCAGCTGTGCTCTGGAAATGTATGGCTTCCTTCCCCATCAACCGGATCCGGATCCCTTGCATTTTCTCCTGAGACCTAAGAATTACCCTGAAAAACTACTTTAAAAAATCTCCATGGGATTCCAGAGAGACAGAACAAAGGGTAGGAGCATGCAAGAGGCCCCCCTTTGATCCAATGCTGCATGGCCCTTTGGTATAACCCTGAACAGCCAGGTATAGCCCTGGCAGTCCCGCAAAGCTAAACGCCAGGTCTTACACTGCCATGAGTATCTGTAGGAGTGGCCCTAAGGCTCCCTGGGCACCGAAGGATAGAGCCCCTTAGGACCAAAAATTCTCTATGTGGAGTGAAATGTAAGAGAGCAAGGGCAGGCCCTTGGGTCCATCCCCTGCACAAATTTCACCCACAAACCAGCAGTGGGAGCAGCTCAAGATGACCCCAGGGGCCCCTGCCCTCAAAAAAATAAAAGTGTGTGTGTGTGAGGGGGTGGCAAGTGCTAGTATAAAGGGAGGGCACTTGTGTTGCATACAATCAACCACATTGGGTCGCTGAGCATTGCCAAGAGTGATCAAGCACTAGCAGGAAGGCAGAAGTAAGCCCTGTGCACCACTGGGTGTGGTTTGTGAAAACCAAAACAGTGCAAAGAGAGGAGCAGGGAGGGAGGGCACAGAAAGTACAGGTGCTTGAACACTAGCCTTGCTTGTAACAAGCCAGTGGTCTTCAGTCCAGCCAGGAACGAGCCTGTGAACAGCCAGATGTGCCCTCTCACCCTCATCCACGTGCAGCAGATGATGCAACAGGTCTTGGTTAGAAAACGAAGTCCACGGGGCTCACTTTTACACTGCTCAAGGAGTTCACAAGGGCAAGAGAAGGATGACCATTTGTGAAATATACATTCCCACGGAATCGCAAAAATTCTACTACAACCCGAGTTACCAATTATTGGCATGTACACAAAATCGTTTTTAGGAAGTTACGTTCGAATTTGTGAGTAGGAAGAGATTACTGAAATACATACGTATAAAAAAAAACCCAAAAGATCATAGAAAAAAATTTTTAAAAAAATATTTCCCTTTCCTCCTGAAATCAGCACGTCTCGTGAGCAGAACGAGCAACTGATCTGTTCACTTCATTTCTGGGGTTTCTCTACTCCAGATCAAGCTGCTCCAAGCATTGCTTCCAGGCTCCGGCTGTGCAGAGCGCGCGTGAAGTCTTGGCAGGCGGTCCCGGGCAAGCCCTGGGCGCTCCGGCGGTGGGGAGGGCACGAGGACGACCCCAGGCCCCGGGTGGTCACCGCACCTGCCTGCTCTCCCCGGGGCCCCACGAAAGGTGGGCGGCGGGTCGCGGCCTGGCCCCGCGGTCCCGCGTGCGGCGCGCCCGGCTGCCGGGGCGGCGGGGGTCGGCGGGCACGGCCCGGGGAGGCGTCGTACACCCCAAAGCCGAGGCCGCCCAGGACACCCGGCCTGCGAGGAGCGAGCGGCGGGTACCTGGGTGATGGAGTCTCCGAAGAGGATCACCCGCGGCCAGGACAAGGCGCTCCCGCAAGCCGCGGCTTCGCACAGCGCCATGACGCCGGCCGGGCCGGACACCTGAGGGGGGCGGGGCTTGGCAGGACCGGATATCCGGAAGGCTTGGGGGGCGGAGGCTGGCAGGACGGGCTATCCCAGCGGCGCCTGCGCAGTCGGTGCCTCTCAGCTCCCGCCGCGTCCCTTCCGGGCCGTGGGACTTCACGCGCGCTCCCAGTTTGGCTGTTGCCCGGAGGCGCGGGGCGAGGAGTCCGTCGGGTGGATGTCAGTTACCGAGGGGCAACTGCAGAACGGACCCAACGGGGTGCGGTCCGAGGACAGGCCCGGGCGGTCGGTGCCCACTGTGGGATCGAAGTCACACTGAGGCGTTTGGGCGGGTCCTTCTGCCGCCCAGGGCTAGGGAGACCACGCGGACGGCCAGCGGGGCTCTTGGCAGAAATTTGCACGCGGGCTGCGCGGGTTCGATCCCCGAGCCCGCCAGGGGGAATTCCCGCGTGCCAAGCCAGGAGTCACCCCTGAGCATCGCCGGGTGTGACACCCCCCCCCCCCCCCCCTTCACAGGAAGAGAAGCGGACTGTGGGTAGGGGATGTGAAGGGTCAGTAAAAGATCGTGGCCACAAGATAGTCTTTGTCACAACACCTGATCGCCCCTTGATTGGAAGGCGGGGAAGGGTTACTGCCGAGCTGCCACTGGGAATCAATTAGAATCTGGAGCTCTGGAGCTTTATATGCTGGGCAGAGATGATCAACACCAAAATTAAATAATAAAAATAAGTGCTGATCAGAGGGTCAGCGCATCAGCACATTTTTGACGTTCCCTAATTATTCCACAGTGCAGGTAGGATAGAGAAAACTATTCAGTTGTGGGAAGGGGTTTGGTCCTCATCGTAAATACAGAAATATGAGGATAAGTCTCTTATCTCAAGAAATCAGCTACCAGGAGAAAAAGGCATGACAGGGACCACAGGGGAAAGAATTACCGAGATTTACAGAATAGCAGAGCTGAAGAAGGTTCTAATTTAGGAGAGATTTAGAACCTCAGTTCTTAAATGTTACTTCTGGAGAGGGATTCTATAGGTGAAAGGGCATTTCTTTTCAGCTAGTCAGTGGGTAAAGCTTTGTCTTGCACACAGCTGACCTGGGCTCAATTCCCGGCACCACATACAGTCCCTTGAGCACCACCAGAAGTTCCTGAGTGCAGAATGAGAAGCAACCCTTGAAGATTGCTGGGTGTGGCCCATACTCCATCTCCCTTTGAAAGAAAATGTTTTAATACAATCTTATAAAAGGAATGTATTTCAAGTAAAAAATGTGGAATTCTGGGGCCGGAGCGATAACACAGCGGGTAGGGCATTTGCCTTGCACGTAGCCGACCTGGGTTTGATCCCCAGCATCCCATATGGTCCCCCAAGCACCGCCGGGAGTAATTCCTGAGTGCAGAGCCAGGAATAACCCCTGAGCATTGCTGAGTGTGACCCAAAAAGCCAAAAAGAAAAAAAAAAAGTGAAATTCTGCATTGACGTTTGTCAATTGAACACAGGGATGAAGTATCAGAACAGTCCAATTTTCCTTTCCCTCTCCCCAGTGGTGAGGCACGGTGAGCACTGAACCAGTCTGGGTGGCATTTGGTGGAGGCGACTTGGAAGTCAGGCCTGAGGTAACCAAGCTCCTATACAGTCCCCGAGAGGGAGTTTCTGAAGCAGATGCGAAAGAAGCCCTTAGCAGGGCTGACCTGCTGCTTATGACTGACTCATTTCTGTGACCAATTACCTGCAAATCTGAATTACATGTCAGGAGACTGAACTTAAGATTTATTCACAATTGAAACACGGCAGCAGTTGATACCTGAATGCCCTTAAAACTGAGCACAGAGAAACAACAAAAAACAACAAAATTCTGAATTTAATGTAGAGGGGCTATATAAAAATGTAAAGTATTGTTGAATTCCCAGTCACAATTTTTTGAAGGGGGCTACACCCAGTGGTGCTCAGGGGATCATACGTGGTGCCAGGGATCAAACTGGGGTCAGCCAGTGCAAGGCAAGAGCCTTAACCTACTTGCACTATCCCTCCAGCCCATACTTTTATAAACACGAAACAAGAAATTTAATATCGGAAGAAAAAAAACAAAAGGGGCTTAAAATTTGCTGATAATCTCTATACATTTAAATTCAGAACATAAAAAGATGAACAACCAGGCTTTCTTAAAAATTAAGGCCTTTTCCCCCTGGGAAAATTGCAAAAATATATGCACAGAAGCAGACCCAAAGCAATCTAAACGATGGAGGCTAGAGTGATAGTTCAGTGGGTAAGGTGCTTGTCTTGCACACAGTTGACTAGGGTTCGATTCCCAGCATCCCATATGGTCCTCCAAGCCCTCCAAGGGTCATTCCTAAGTGAAAAGCCAGGAGTAATGCCTAATGGCTGCCAGGTGTGACCCCCAAACAAACAAACTCCAAATACCCCACAAAAACCAAAAATACAAAAAACAGAACACAAAATACCCCAATCTAAAATAATGGCAGATTATCTGGCAATTCCAGAATAATATTAGCAATTTCACAGATTTCACTTATGCCCAAGTATGGAGGCTGGGGGTTGGGAATGGGGCTGAGTGGGAGGGCATGTTCCATTTGTTATATCTGACGCCCTGGGTTCCATCCCTGGCGCCACAAAAGAATACGCACACACATACACACACACAAAGCACCCCCAAACAAAACTAGGCTACCCCAGAGAAACTAATGTATTTATTTGAAGTAACAGAAATAGAGTTCAGCATTGCAAAGAGAAGACAGCTTTAACATATACAGACGGAAGTTGTCAGTGGACAGGCGTGAGGGCCTCGTAGAGTCGCTGCGCAGCCAGCTCCACCATTTCCCGGAGGGATTCGTCATCTTCACTCCCTTCCTCACATTCTACGGTCTGCAAGTGGAAGCACAAATGCGACTTTACATGAACTTCTCCCAGGAATGGCCCTGTCACCTGCACTGATCTTCAAGGACCTGAACCGTTGCACTGCACACGTGGGGGATGCGCCTGGGCGCAGATTCCTGACAGCACAGTGACTACATCTGATTAAAATGAACTTGTGGGGACAGGGGTATTTGAGCCACACCCGACGGTGCTCAGGAAGTAACCCTGGCAGTGCTTGGGAGGCCATATATGGTGCCGGGTTTGGGATCAAATCAAGGTCAGCCAAAACGTATTTGCTTTTCACCTTGCAGAAAGAACCTCTCACCTGACTTAACGACCTCCTTCTGTTCCCAAAGCACCTGAGAATAACTGCTTCCCAACTCTCACCATAATACTATAATGATTGTGCCAATATGGTAAGTGCAGTTGATACCTTAATTTTTTATTTACCTTACTTATTAGTGGGATTGGAGTGATAGCACAGAGAGTAGGGCGTTTGCCTTGCATGTGGCCGACCCGGTTGACCTGAGTTCAATTCCTCCGCCCCTCTCGAAGAGCCCGGCAAGCTACCGAGAATATCTCACCCGCACGGCAAAGCTTGGCAAGCTTCCCATGATGTATTCGATATGCCAAACACAGTAACAAGTCTCACAATGTTACTGGGCCCATGCAAGCAAATCAATGAACAACGGGAGGACAGTAACAGCAACTTACTAGCAAATCTGAATATCTTTCATGCTTATTGGCTATCTGTATTCTCCAATTAATTACATGGATATTTTTGTTTGTTTCTGTGCTCGGGGACACACCCTGAAGGGAATGCACTCAGCTCAGTGTTTGGGGGAAAACCATGCGGTACAGGGGATCAAACCCTGGGCTATTGCATGCAAAATATGTGCTCCAGTCTATTGCATTAGCCTTTCTAGCCCTGAATTGTTTTTAGCTTCTTTTTCTTTTTGCATAACACCTGGCAGTGCTCAGGGTTTATTTCTGCCATCCAAGTAGTAAACAGGCCTGACCCTGCTTAGCTTCTGAGATCAGACGAGATCAGGCGTGTTTAGTGTGGTAAGACCGTAGACTCAGTTTATTTATAGCTCTCTTCTCAGGAACCACTTCTGGTGGGACTTGTGGAGTACTGGAGATGGAACCTAGGTCGCTGTGTGCAAGGCAAACATCCTACCCTCTGTACTATATCTGGTTCCTTAGGTTTTGTGATCAAATCAGGTGTCTTCTCAAGGAATCTAAGTAGTCATAAACTACAAAATTTAAAGCATATGTTGTTACTGGACAGCTATTCTAATCTTCAAAAATAACTCTGGGGCTGGAGAACGAGGACAGAAGTGAAGGCACAGGCCTTGCAGATGGCGGATACCCAGCACCACATGGTCCCTGAGGATTGCCAGGTGCAGGCCTGGAGGCCCCTGAGCAATACTGGTATGTGCGCAAACACACACACACACACACACGCACGCACGCACGCACGCACGCACACACACATGGCATCACATCATCAGGCCCTCAGATTGAACCCCCTATCCCTCCCTAAACACACACACAAACACATTGGGAATCGCATCCTCACTCAAACCCCAAGATTGAGCTGCAACCCCCTCCCCTGACACAAACAAACAAACCCCAAAAACAAACCCAAATGTTTACTGTGCAGCAACATGGGAAAAACGTGACAAAATGAGACAATACAAAGATGAAAAACCTCAGATATAATAATACAAGTCCAACACTGTAGGAGAAATCTGGAAGAAAAATGTCAAAATGTAAAAGCTACTTTTAGAATGGGATTATGGTTATTTTTGTCTGTACTTCCCAAATGACTTGAAATGTAGGACAAAAAGCTCCATACCCGAGTCTCCAAGTTTATATTCGCAGTTTTTCCATCCACAGTGACACCAAGAATAGCACCATCTTTTACACTCACACAATCTTCTCCAAATATGTCCCTGAAGAAAAAGATGAGATAATAGAGGGAAAACATGTAAAAAACCCTTTACATATCTGAGGGAATGGGATGCTGGGAATTGAACCCGGGCTGGCTGCATGCAAGGCAAACGCCCTACCCGCTGTGCTATCACTCCAGCCCCTCTAAAGAATCTTAAAAAGTACAACTTTAAGAAACAACATATTATGAAACGAGATTTC